AACCAAGGTACATGCCCTTGACTGGAATCGAACCCGGGATCTTTCAGTCCACAGCCTACGCTCTATCCACTGAGCCAAACCGGTTTCAGCTGTGTGTTACTTTCAAACTGTCTGAGCCTTACCCTCTTCAGGGAAAAGGCTTGAGAAAAACATTAAGTCATGTGCATTCAGTATAATTTGATATGTAGTGAAGTTAAGGAGGATGTCACTGATCTTGGTGATGGGAAAGGAATGGTTTTTTTCCATCCTCTTCCATGGCAAAGGATCATGAAGCCAAGATGGTGGGATAGCTGTGGGCTGAAATGTACAGAGGTTCACAGTGTGTCAGTTTTGAAGAAAGGTTTTCTCCACAGTGGAACCATTTGAGGCCTATGATTTCTGCTTATTTAACCTAGAAACTGTATAGTAAGAATCAGTAAGAAGATGGTTTTTGAAAAGTCTTGCAAAGTCTGGTTATTGTCTAACACCACCTGCTGGGTAGCTGCAACCTACCATTTCTTCTGACCAGATTTCCCTTCTTGGCAACTGTGCTTTCAATATGGTTTTTGTTTTTTCATTTTAGAGCGAGAGGAAGAAGAAGGAAAGAGAAACATCGGTCAGCTATGGGGGCCGATCCCGCAACCTTGGGCATGTGTTCTGATGGGGAATCAAAGTGGCAACCTGTAGGTGCACAAGAGGATACCCAGCCAACTAGCCACACCGGCCAGGGCGCTGGCAGCTGTACTTTAAGAAGCAGAGGGAAGCTCAGCCTCAACAGTGGAGCCTTGGCCTCTGCTCATCCAGGTGGGTTTTCCTTCAGGTGGTATCACAGTTACAGTGTCATGGTTCTAGTTGATCCTTGGTTGTCATCATTTTTTAAGATAAGAGTTTTAGACCCAGCTCTGCCGCTAACTTTGTGTGTGACTCTCAAACTCTTTGAACTTTAAGTTCTTCAATTCTTTTACTTTTCTTTTTATTTTTATATGAGCATTTATTCCAATAATACTGGCAGTGTGGGAGAGCAGCAAGTCCTCCATAAAATCTCTCAATTCATTTAAAATATATATTTTATTGATTTTTTACAGAGAGGAAGGGAAAGGGATAGAGAGCTAGAAATCACGATGAGAGAGAAACATGGACCAGCTGCCTCCTGCACCGCCCCCACCGGGGATGTGCCCGTAACCAATGTACATGGCTTTCACCAGAATCGAACCTGGGACCCTTCAGTCCGCAGACCGATGCTCTATCCCCAGAGCCAAACCGGTTTACGCTAAATATACATTTTTTTTTTAATTTTTTTTATTTTATTTCAGAAGAGAAAGGAGGAAGAGATAGAAACATCAATGAGAGAGGCTCAAGCCCACAACCCAGGCATATGTCCTGACTGGGAATTGAATCTTGATCTTCTGGTTCATAGGTTGATGCTCAAACACTGATCCACACTAACTGGGCAAGTTCTTCAATTTCTTTTTTAAATTAATTTCTTTATTGATTAAGGTATCACATATTTGTCTCAACGCCCCCATTCCAATCCCCCACCCCTCCCTACTTATGTCCCCAACCCCCTATTGTCCTTGACCACTGGTTAGGCTCATATGTGTGCACACAAGTCCTTTGGTTGATCTCTCCCTTTTATCCCCACCCTCCTTCTGAGGTCCAACAGTCTGACCCATGGCTTCTTATCTCTGTGTCTGTTCTTGTTCATCAGTCTGTGTTGTTTACCATTTCCCCTAGATGAGTGAGATCATGTCCTACTGGAAATAATTGTCCAATTCTTTTTTTCTTCTTTAAATATATGTTATTGATTTTTTACAGAGAGGAAGGGAGAGAGATAGAGGGTTAGAAACATCGATGAGAGAGCGTCATCGATCAGCTGCCTCTTGCACACCTCTCACTGGGGATATGCCCACAACCAAGGTACATGCCCTTGACCGGAATCGAACCTGGGACCCTTCAGTCCCCAAGCCGATGCTCTATCCATTGAGCCAAACCGGTCTCAGCTAATTGTCCAATTCTTAAATAAAATGGTAAGGCTGGCTTTTGGAGGCCTTTCTACCCCTGCATTCTATAAATTAGTAACTCCTATTGTTCTTGCTCTGCGTCAACTAAAATAGCTTCGCTCCCTTCTTAAGTAGTCACCTAACTCCGTGGTGAGATCAGTGCTCTGTATATTGTTAATGCTCAATTGATAGATCAACATTTTTTCCTACTTTCTATGTATTGTAAACAAAGGTTATCAAAATGCTTGGAAGTAACTTTAAGGCTTAAATTGTGTAGTGGTAGACTTGGATATTACAAAGCTTAAATTTGTTAGCTATATTGACATAAACAAAATATTTCTGGAATCATTGTTAATTAAACCAAAGAAAATCTGAAAATTTGATTTTCACTTTTTAAATGATATCAGGATATGCCCTGCTTCCTCCTCTTGCCCACATAATTAACTACCATATTCTCTTGTCCACATAATTAACTAGCTCTACCATTGTAGAAAAGCACCACAGATTTGCTGTTTTGAATTGGAGTTGGCAGAGTTAAGTTTTCCTGTTCACTATCGGACTAGTTTTATTGTTGTCATTGGTTACAAAAGGTGCCACTCGCCGAAACCGGTTTGGCTCAGTGGATAGAGCATCGGCCTGCAGACTGAAAGGTCCTGGGTTCGATTCCGGTCAAGGACATGTACCTTGGTTGCGGGCACATCCCCGGTAGGGAGTGTGCAAGAGGCAGCTGATCGATGATTCTCTCTCATCGATGTTTCTAACTCTCTATCCCTCTGCCTTCCTCTCTATAAAAAAAACAATAAAATATATTTAAAAAAACAAAAACAAAAACAAAACAAAAGGTGCCACTCTCCATTTGGGTTGGTAGAGTAGATTCCTGGGCTGCCATAATAAATTACCACAAACATAATGACTTAAAACAATAGAAATTTATTCTCACTTAAAACAATAGAAATTTATTCTGGAGGCTAGAAATATGAAATCAATGTATTGGCAGAGCCATTCTCTCCCTGATTATCCTAGGAAAAATTCTTAACCTTCCTGGCTTCTGGTGGCTCCTGGCACTCTTTGGCTTGTAACTACATTACTCCAATCTCTGCCCCAGTCTTCACATGGCCGCCTTCTCTATATGTGTCTATCTTCTCTCTTAAAAAAAAAATTATTTTGAGAGAGGGAGCCTTAATTGGTTTGGCTCAGTGGACAGAGCGTTGACTGAGGGGTCCCAGGTTTGATTCCATTCAAGGGCATGTACCTTGGTTGCAGACACATCCCCAGCGGGGGGATTGCAGATGGCAGCTGATGGATGTTTCTGGCTCTCTATCCCTCTCCCTTCCTCTCTGTAAAAAATCAATAAAATATAGTTTTAAAAGAGAGAGAGAGAAACATTGATATGAGAGTGAAACATCAGTCAACTGCGACTTTATGCCCCCTACCGTGGATCAAGCCCGCAACCCAAGCATGTGCTCTGGGCAGTGTTTCTGGCGCTGGATCATGCCCAACCAACTGAGCCACATCAGCCAGGGCTGTGCCTTATCTTCCTAAAGGACGCCACTCATTGGCTTTAGGGCCCACCCTAGTCCAGTATGACCTCATCTTAACTTATGCATCTGCAAAGACCCTAATTCTAAACAGGGTCACATTCAGAGGCACATTTGAAATTTTGGCTCCTGTTGACAGTTGCCAAGAGGTAGGAATTCTGGCTAAAAGTTCCCCTCATGTAGTTAGATTGCGGAAGACAGGTCCTGCTGAGCTCTGAGCCTTCTGGTCTGGCATTTCTAGTTCCTGTTTTCTGTGTGTATTCTCTGTTTCCATTCTCTGGGAACAGGACTGTATACCACCAACTCTCACAAGCAGTTAGTATATGTATTTGGTTAAATATACGTACACACACCCCAGGCAGTTAGGAAGGGAAATTGTCTTTTCTCCTGTGCTTGAATTACTGAATTTATTTAAGTGCTAATTACAAGAAGAGCTGAACTGCAGACCTGAGTTTGGGGAGGGGGCTGGGACTGCAGCAGCTACTGCTGGCGGGCTGAGAGCCTGAGCTGTTCCTGGTGCTTAGCCACTGCACACAGCACCCTCCGTGCAGCCTGTGTTTCCGGTTTCCATAGTCACAGTTAATGGGAAGCAAAGTTGTCGTCATTTCAAAGTGTTCACTATGAACTATTTATAAAATTAATTCTTATTCAGATACCCCCCCATTTAACATTTGAATAAATACCAGCCATCTTTGTTGACCAATTTTTCCCTGGCTGATCTATATCTACATTGGAGGTCAGGAAATCACCGATGACGTGCCTGCGCCATCTGCAGCCTGTTTGTGTATGGTCTTTGCGCAAAATGGTTTTTATATTTTTAAAAGTTTGTGTGTGGATGTGACCCGAGTCCATTGCCGGTGCGCGGCTGGGTGGCCGCGGAAGCCGCCATTGTTCCATCCCGAGAGGTCAGCCTGGCGCCCTGGCGCCGCCTAGTGGCCGTCACTGGGAACACTTGCTCCGCCGCCCCCTCCTCCCGGCGGCTGCAGAGCGAGGCTGACGAGGGGGAGCTGGGAGCCCCTCTGCTCCCTCCCTCTCCTCCCGGCAGCCCCCTCAACGGCCCATCCGGGTTCTGGCGCCGCAGCCGCGTCAACTGCGGATCCCGGCTTGGCAGCTGCGTCAGCGGCAGATCCGGCTCTGATCCCGGCTTGGCAGCTGCGCCAGCGGCCGATCCGGCTCTGATCCCGGCTTGGCGGCTGCGCCCGCGGCCGATCCGGCTCTGATCCCCGCTTGGCGGCTGCGCCCGCGGCCGATCCGGCTCTGATCCCCGCTTGGCGGCTGCGCCCGCGGCCGATCCGGCTCTGATCCCCGCTTGGCGGCTGCGCCCGCGGCCGATCCTGCTCCGGCGCGGCAGCCGCTGTCCACGGCCGATCCGGCTCCGATGCGCTGAGGCTGTCTGCCCGGCCGCTTCTTGCTTCGCTGGACTCTCCCCGGGCATCTTGCGCCCTCGGCGGCTTCGCACCCCAGTGTCCTGGCGCGAGGGAGGATGGCTGTGAGGAGCTGGCTGCGCGATCTTGCCGACGAGGTCAGCGAGTGGTTAGTGTGGCTGGATCAAAAGATAGATAAGCTGGGTCTCAAGCCGAACGTTCAAGCGCAGGTGGATTTCCTGCTGGAGCACCAGGGCTGGTATACCCTGCTGTCCTGGCACCTCATCCTGATGGTGGTTATCTTTCTGCTGGTCTATGGCTGGGTGTCGTCGTGCTCCTATGTCTCGGCGGCCGAGCTGCGCGCCCGCAGGATGCGGAAGCTTCGCCGGGAGGAGGCCGCCAGCGCCCGCAGGAGGCGGAGGGCCCAACGGGAGTCCACGCCTGCGCCGCCTCAGGCGACCGCCTCCCACCTGGCCGTGCCCAAGAGCCCCCGGGGGGAAGAGAAGAGGCCCGGCAAGAAGCAGTCCAACCTCAGAGACTCGCACAGAGAGAGACATCCTCGTGGGAGGCCGCTGCCAACCAGTAACGCACCACACGTGGCCCGCCCAGCGATCAAACCTGAAACCCACGTAAGTGCCCCGACTGGATATCGAAGCAGAGACCCTTTGATGCACAGGATGGCGCTCCACCGACGGGATGACTCCGAGGATCTAGAAACCTTTTACATTTGGATTAAGCCAAATGGGCAAGCTGCCGAAGTGTCTGACATGAAAGTTTCCCGATTTCCTCGAAGTGAAACAGCAACGCAACCATTAGGGATAAACAAGAGAAACGAAGGGCCGAGGAAACCAGTGTGTGAGGCTACAGCAATGCACACTTGTTTCTGCGAAAGTGGGAAGAACGGTATGCCATGGTGGGTGAGGCTTGAGGAAGGATCCTTAAGGCTGCGTAAACCTCCGAAGATGTAGATTGGTTCTGGTCCGTTGGATTCAGCTATCCCTGGGATAGGAAATACCATCTTAGTTACCACCAAGCAATTCACAACCGCATCATTTCATATTGGCTCCCAGAAGAATAAAGGTGAATCTCATCTTAAATGTTTGTGTTGGCAACTTTAAGTCTGGAAAAGGAGATCCTAAACTCCAGGTTTCTTCAGGATTAAATGAAAACCTCAGTATAAATGGAGGAGACTGCAATGAAAAGGATAAGTCCCAGCCACCTTTGTTGACCAGTTCGCCTTCAGCGTGCAGGCGAAGAGAAGTGGAAACTCTGTTCCACCTGCTTCTGCGGCAGGAGGAGAACTGAGCCACCTGCTTGGGGACAAGACTCTGGAGATGCTAAAGGGAATGAATGGAAGGAGTTGGAGTGACCAGTATTTTCTCGTTGCTGCGTGTGGATAGGAGAATGAATCTCTCTAAATAGAATTCTGCTTCTTTTGCATCTCTCACACTTAACGCTGCTGTTTCTGGGTCTACTGATGGTCCAGACGATCCAGAAGATTTTGAAAAAGAGATTAGAGAAGAGCTTCTAGTGAATACATCTAAAGTCCACCCAAAATCGGAAAAAGCTTTTTCTTAGAAAACCATAAGCACTAAAGATCCAGTAGAGCAATGGACAAAAATAAGCATCCCATGAAGACTTCCACCTGCTGTTTCTACCCAGCCATTTGTTATTTGATAAAGTGATTCTGGCAAGAGCTCAAGTGGCACCGATGCTACAAGAGTCAGATAAATCCAAGTCAAATACTAAGTAAAACAGTGTGCCAAGTTTGGAACCAGCTAAGACTCTCCCAAACAAAAAAAGGAGAGAAAAGCCAGGCGGGAAACGTGAATTTTCTTTTTCTGAATAGGACATATGTTTGCAGACTCTGTCTTATATATTATGCTGTGTATGCAGTAAATTTGTGAACATGTATAGAGTTATATAAATTTAAACCATCATAAAAATGGAATCAAAGGAAAGTTAATTTATGAAATTACGAGGTCATCAGAATATACTATAGACAGTCCTTGGGTTATGTTGGACTCGTATGTCGTTTTGTGGTTACGTTGCTATCTCCCATTTGTTTATAAAAAAAAAAAAGTTTCGTCATTTTGACGTATGTATATGTGTTTTTTTAATTTTATATTTTTTATTATTTATTTACCACAAGTAAAGGTCAGGAATTGTTATCTTTTAAATTCTTTTTTTTTTTTTTTTTTTTTACTGTTTCTCTTCATTACTGCTGTGTATGTGCTCCATGTGAGTGACGTAGGTGCTTATGTAGGTGGGTTCCGACTTATGGCGAAAATCGTGTTATGTTGCCCTGTAGGAACGGATCTCCGACGTAAGCCGAGGACCTTGCTGGAAGACACCTGGGAAAGTCTTTTTAATTTAATGAGGACGTTCTTAATTCAAGAACATTATCCTGGTTTTACAACAGATTGTGCCCTATCTCATCTGCACCTGAGGAATGAAGGATTCTGATGAGAGAGAGGGTTGCCTACACTCTTGGACTTTATGCATGAACTTATGTCATTTGAATCTGCTTTATGCTTAAAGTGTTGTGATGAAATGCATCATCTGCCATATCTTTACATATGTGTTGGTAGCAATTTGTATTAAAGAAATCACAAGTGCAAAAAATAAAATGACAATAAAATAAAAAGTTGTGTGTGTATGTGGGGGCGAGGGAGGGAGGAGGCGAGGGAGGGTGGTATGCAGCAGAGACTGTATGTGGCCTGCAAAGCTTAAAATATTTACTCTAACTCTTTTCAGAAAGTTTGTTGACCTTTAGCCTAGGGCAGTGATTTTCAACTGGTGTGCTGCAAGAATTTTTAAAACATGAAAACCTGACTAATTTAGTCAGGGGTGCTGTCCTAATTTCCTTTAGATTGTCAAAACAATGACAGCCATCTTGTGTGAATGAATAAAAATTTTGTCAGATCAACAAAAATATTTTTTTGGTGTGCAGCAGAATTTTAGTAATAGTTTATGTGTGCCATGAGACGAAAAAGGTTGAAAATTCACTGCTCTAGGGCAATATACTACAAATAGAGTGTAAATTAATTGCAAGTTAAAATTATGAATCTTGCATAAGAGGCAGGATTTCATGAAATATCTAAAAGTGGTTATGGAAAACTGCTGTTTAGGGCTCTAGTTTAAAAAGTGACACTCTTTTTAAAAAAAATATATTTTTTTATTAGAGGCCTGGTGCACGAGATTCATGCACTTGGGGTGGTCCCTCAGCCTGAGGTGATCAGGACAGCGGAGGGGAGGGGGAGTTCGGAGTGAGCAGGCCAGCAGGGGGGCAGTTGGGGCGAGCAGGCCGGCAGGGGGGCAGTTGGGGGCAAGCAGGCCGGCGACGGGGGCAGTTGAGGGCGAGCAGGCCGGTGGCAGGGGGGCAGTTGGGGGCGAGCAGGCCGGTGGCAGGGGGGCAGTTGGGGGCGAGCAGGCCGGTGGCAGGGGGCAGTTGGGGGCGAGCAGGCCGGTGGCAGGGGGGCAGTTGGGGGCGAGCAGGCCGGTGGCAGGGGGGCAGTTGGGGGCGAGCAGGCCGGTGGCAGGGGGGCAGTTGTGGGCGAGCAGGCCGGTGGCAGGGGGGCAGTTGGGGGCGAGCAGGCTGGCGGCAGGGGGGCAGTTGGGGGCGAGCAGGCCGGCAGCAGGGCGGCAGTTGGGGGTGAGCAGGTTAGTGGCAGGGGGGCAGTTGGGGGCGAGCAGGCCGGCGGCAGGGGGGCAGTTGGGGGTGAGCAGGTTAGTGGCAGGGGGGCAGTTGGGGGCGAGCAGGCCGGTATAATTCACTAATAGGAATAGTGAATTCCTATTACTGCTCTAACAAATCTCCACACATGAGTGGTTACACAGTACAGGTGTGCTTTCTTAGTGTAGTTCTAGACATCTGAAGTCCAAAATGGGTCTCACCAAGTTCAAGTCCCGGGATCGGCAGTGCTGTGCTCATTCTGGAGGCTCTCGGGGAGAATCTGTTTCCATCTGTAACCTTAGTTCCTTCTTGTCATATAATACGCATATTCTCAGTTCTCAAGAATGTGGCCAACGTGTTGAGGGTCATTGCTTTGTCCACCACAAAACCCTTAAATGTTTGGCCATTTAAAAAATCTTTAGGATCAATCTTTTTGACTTAAGGATGAAATAAGGATGTCATTTCGTGCTGTCATTCAAAAAAAAAATTTTTTTTTTTACCTTATTCATATTTGTTTCTAAAGAAATCACAAGGGCGACCTAAATCTTTTTAAAGAATCTTAATTCATGTTTTTTAATTTTTATGAAAGGGTCCAAAATAAACTTCTTTAAAAATACATTTTAAAAGGTCATTCTTACAGCCACTGATTATAGAGAGACATTTCTCAATTCTCTTCTTTCCACGTAAGGAATTGAAATACTGCATGAGAAGGATAATGCCAAAACAAGAGTCACTGGTTCATCAGCTAGGAAACAGAATACTCCATTGCTAGACCCTTTATCAGACACAAAGCAGGGTTAGCATCTTTGCTGTCGTGGTGCAGAGCTGACGCAGGAGTCCAGGGAGCGGGTACCGGCACAGCTTTCCTTGGGGAAGATGCACATTCCTGTGGTCCTGTCTCCTGAGAAGGGTTGGGGTTCTGTCCTTCCGTCACCCTCCTCCGGGGCACTCGCTCATCTTCCTGCTCTTCCTGTCACCAAGCGGCTCTTCTGACCTCTGCTGTTGTCTTGGCTGCTCCCTAGTCTGTTAACTCACCCAGCCTCATGCTGACCGTGTCGCAGACGCCGGGCTCGAACAGCCAGCTCGGAATATTTTGGCGTGGGGTGCATTCCGAGTGAGAGGGAAGGGTTTCACTGGGGGCCGGGCCTGATGAGACGAGCAGGAAGTCGATGCCTCTTCTGAAGAGTCTTTTATTCTCTCGGGATCTTTATCTCCCGCCCAATGCTCTCGGTCTCCTCTAAGCTCATTCCAGTCCACCTTCGAGGCGAAGGAGATGTAACTCGTGAGCGTCATCTGCTTCACCACTTCCCACAGCAGATTTCAGTGCAGACAACCCACACGCCACCTCCTCCTCTGCTTGTGCCCCTGTCTTAGCCCATCTCTGAGATGCCATAGCCACGAGATTAGGGTGGGGCCGGTGAGGAACTAGCAGTGTTAACTTTCAGTTGAATTGTTCTTGGTTTTGGGCAACTCAGGCTCTGCCACATGATATGGTTGGCACTGGTTAGGCAGCCTAAAAAGTGTTCTCCGAGTTAGCGAGGCGCTTGCCAGGCTGGCTTGTGACATGGCGAGCGCTCCCCGAAACGCTGGCGCTTCAGGTTGGCGGAGGACGAACTGAGCTGCAGTGCAGGTTGGCAGCCTTCTTAAGGAGGTGTGGTTCTTCCAGCACCTTCTCTGGGCTCGCCAGGAACCGCTGGCCTCAGCCGCTACTGCCACTTCGTCCGGGAGCTTCTGCTGATCGCCAGCAGCTTCACCTGATGCACTGCCACAGTGGCTGATTTTATCCTTTATGTCTTCCTGGATCTCTCCTCTCCGGCTTGTTCCTGCTACATTTTCTTGCCTTCTCCTCTGTCATCTCTCCTGTGAGCAGTGACAGTAGCCCCAGGCTGTGTGTCCTGAGCAGCAGGGCGAGCTGCCTGAACACAGATCTGGTGATGTCACTCTCAGCCAGGGTTCCCTCATCTACGGGATTGAGTCTGGGATAGGAGGTGCAGGAAACAAGAGTTTGTAGTTACCTATAAATCTCATGTTTTTGCATAAGCAGTTCCGTTGCCTAAAATGCCCTTTCCAGTTTATTTGATTTGGTTAATTCCTGCTCCCCGTCAGAACTGAGCTCAGCTGCTGCCTTCTCCAGGAAATTTTCTGAGTCCTCCAGTTGAGTTAGATAGTGTCCCTTCTGGGCTTCCGTAGAACCCTCTCTCCAAGCATTTACTGCTTTGTTTTTTTGGGGGTTTTTTTTTGGCAATACTTATTTAACAAACATTTAATTGTTGCTTACTCTATGTTCTAACTGCTTTACAAATATTTAATCCTATTGACAATCCTTTGAGATAAATACTATTATTATTCCCCAATGCTAGGTGACAAAACGGGACCAGTGAGGTCAAATAACTTGTTGCACATTACACAGCCTTGTAAGTGATGGATCTGAGATTTGAAGAAAGGCTGTAGGAAGTGTCCCTCTCTCAGTTGTGGACATCCCTTCCCCATTCATAGCCAATTCTTCAAGGGCAGAGCCATATCTTAGCCCCAGGGCTTGGCCTGATAATTCAATACCCCTATGTCTTTTGTATTTTTTCTTTTTCAATATATTTCTGCTGATTTCAGAGAGGAAGAAAGAGATAGAAACATCAGTGATGAGAGAGAATCAATCACTCTCTGCCTCCTGCACCCCCCCTTCCCCTCTGGAGATCAAGCCTGCAATCCAGGCACGTGCCCTAATCGGGAATCAAACCATCACCCCATGGTTCATGGGCTAATGCTCAACCACTGAGCGACACTGGCAGGGCTCAGTGCCTATATGTTGACCTAGCTACACTACAAGGCAGTTCAAAGACAGCAGAGTTCTCTATGTCACCTAAATGGAGAGTTTGGAATGAATGTTTCATTTATCAGGTCAGCCTTGTCTACTTGGAGCATAAAGCAGGGCCCAGCCCCTCCACTGTCTTGGAGCACGGAGGTACAGGAAGACGGCTGCCCTCCTTGGTCCCAGTGGAGCCAATCTGAATATGTAGGGTTAGGCAAGAGGGAGAAGGTGAGAGTCGCTCTGACTGGAGTAAGGTGAGCGGGCTTGAGCTGGGGTCTGGAGTGTTGAGAGTTGTAGTGGGCAGAACAGTGTTATGCGTGACTGCAGGGAGGGTGAAGCAGCCTGCGTCCCTGCGGGCAGGTCGAGGAGTGCACACCTGCAGGGCGGGCTGGAGTCATGCCACAGCCTCCCGTCGCTGACCCAGCTCAGTGCTATGGCCATGGCCCCTGCCTCCTGCAGCCCCGGGACCCAGGCCTCCCCTATCGGCACCTCACTCCGGCCTGCTCCCTGCATTTGGGTCCCGGGTGTATATGCAGAAGGCTATCGCTGCCTGCTCAGGGAGTTCTCTCTAACCCAGAAATTTCTTCTTCACCAGGGAGAGCCCACTGCCAAAAAGGCCCGGTCAAAGCCTCAGGTGTACATGGACATCAAGATTGGGAACAAGCCGGCCGGCCGCATCCAGATCCTCCTGCGCACAGATGTCGTTTCCATGACAACGGTTGAGCAGGCTCCAGTCGAAGCTGTGGCTGAGCCAGCCGAGGAGGAAGCTGCCTGGAATCTGCACCCTGGGCACAATCCCTACCCGAGTCCAAGTGAGTCATCCTAGGTCCCAGCCGCTGGAAACAAATGAGGCAGGGCAGGCATTTTGAAGCTCTCTAAAGGCTTAGGACCTTTAGAGAGAACAAGCAGTTAAAAGTGATAACATACAGCCGGGACCGGTTTGGCTCAGTGGATAGAGCGTCGGCTTGGGGACTGAAGGGTCCCGGGTTCGATTCCGGTCAAGGGCATGTACCTTGGTTGCGGGCACATCCCCAGTAGGGGGTGTGCAAGAGGCAGCTGATCGATGACTCTCTCATCGATGTTTCTAGCTCTCTATCTCTCTCCCTTCCTATCTGTACAAAATCAATAAAATATATATATTTTTTAAAAAGTGATAACATGCTTCCATTGCCATCTGGTTTAGTTTTATAGTGTGTTTTTAAAAATTGTGTGTATATACATATATATATATATATTGTTTATATATATATAATTATGTATATATAAAATTATATATACATATACATGGACATCAAGATTGGGAATAAGCCAGCCAGCCGCATCCAGATCCTCCTGCGCACAGATGTTGTTTCCATGACAACGGTTGAGCAGGCTCCAGTCCTTTTTCCGTTTGTTAATTTGCTTTTTGCCCCTATACTTTATCATTTTATTATATACAAATGTTTACCCCTCTCCCCCGTACCAGTTGAGAGGGAGTTGAAGACAAGTCCTTTGACTCCTAAATAATTTAGTAGGTATTTCCTGAGAACAGAATATTCCCTTGCTAGTCACAGTAAACTATCAAAATCAGGAAATAGAATATCAATACAACCCTATTAACTAATCTTCAGCCCATATTCAAATTTCATTGCTTATTCCAATATTTTCCTTGATAGTAATGTTACCAATTTTTCTTCCCAACAAGGATTTGCACATTACTCTCCATGGTAGAGTCTTGTAGTCTCTGTTTTCATTGTCTTTTGTGATGGTGACATCTTTGAAGAGGATAGACCATTCTTTTTTTTCTTTTTTTAATATATTTTATTGATTTTTGTTTTACAGAGAGGAGGAGAGAGGGATAGAGAGCTAGAAACATCGATGAGAGAGAACCGTCGACCAGCTGCCTCTTGCACACTCCCTACCGGGGATGTGCCCGCAACCAAGGTACATGCCCTTGACCGGAATCGAACCTGGGACCTTTCAGTCTGCAGACTCTACCACTGAGCCAAACCGGCTTTGGCGGATCGGCCATTCTTTAAGGCTGTTCTCAGTTTGTCAGCTGGTCCTGCCTCAGGGTCAGAGTTAGATGATGTGTGTTGGCAGGAACGCCTCAGGAGCAGCTGTTTGCTTGTTAGTGCATCTTATAAGGAAGTACATGGCGTCAGCTCCAGTATTTGTGATGTTAGCTTTGATCAATAGGTTAAAGAGATTTCTGCTAGGTTTTTCCAGTGAAAGTTATTATTTTTCAAGTTATGAATTAAAAGCTAAAAAACATCCCCGCTCTATCTGCAGCCATTTCCCAGAGGTAACTACTAGTCACAGTTGTGAGTCAGATTTTCTTAAATGTTCATAATGATCCTTTTTACCCATAATCCTTTTGTTTCAGTCTAGCCTTTTTTTAAAAAAAAGTTTATTACAGTCATAATTGCACATAGTTTAAAGGAAATAATTCTGGGAGTTTAATTAAAAACATGACCGTCTTCTGCTTTCTCCGGGCATTGGCTCACTTCCCACTAATGCCAGTTGTTCCTCCTCCCCACCCATTTGGGACAAAAACATACCTTGCAGTTTCCAAGTAGCCTACAGGGGGCGGTGTTTCCCTATTTGGAACCCCTGTCCTAGACAGTCCCATCCCATCCCCGGGGCCTTCCATTTCTCTGTGTTATTCCCATATCTCAGTCCAGGCGGCTCACGCCCAACAGTTCTTGCTCTTCTCTCCAAACTCTTCCTCTTGCTCTTCCTGTTTCAGTCAGTGCCACTACCATGCACCCGGCCGGTGAGTCAGAAACTCAGGACTCATCCTTGACCCTCTTCCCCTTCACTGTGCGTCTTCCGTGGCCGCCTGGCCCAGCCGCCCTTCACCCTTCTCCGCCACCGAGCTCTGCGGAGCTGGCCTCCAGGCCGCTCTTGCCTCTGGGAGTCTAACATCGAGCGGCAGCCAGGCGGCCCTTCTAAACACAAACCCAGTCACGTCATCCTGCTGACAGCCCCTGGGCCGCCGCCCCAAGGATCCATGCAGCAGGGCCCACCGACCCGGACCTGACGCCTCCCGCTCCCCTCACTGCCTCCCGCTCCCCTCACTGCCTCCCGCTCCCCTCACTGCCTCCCGCTCCCCTCACTGCCTCCCGGCTCCCCTCACTGCCTCCCGGCTCCCTTCACTGCCTCCCGCTCCCCTCACTGCCTCCCGCTCCCCTCACCGCCTCCCGCTCCCCTCACCGCCTCCCGGCTCCCCTCACTGCCTCCCGGCTCCCTTCACTGCCTCCCGCTCCCCTCACTGCCTCCCGCTCCCCTCACCGCCTCCCGCTCCCCTCACCGCCTCCCGGCTCCCCTCACCGCCTCCCGGCTCCCCTCACCGCCTCCCGGCTCCCCTCACCGCCTCCCGGCTCCCCTCACTGCCTCCCGGCTCCCCTCACTGCCTCCGGCTCCCCTCGCCGCCCTGCGCCCCCACCTCTCCACGGTGCCCCTTGCTTCCGTCAGTTGTCACACGTGTCTCCTGGTCCCTGACCTGCTTCTCCGTGGACTTTCCTACCACCTGGACCTGTGGAGTCGGCTGCCCTTTACATCACACGCTTATGCCTGAAATTATACCTTCATTTTTCTTCCTATTTGTTTGCTGCCTCCTGAGAATGGCGGCCTCACTGGGTAGGATGTGGCCTTTCTTTTTCACCACTGTGATGTGTCCGGAAAGCAGCTGACACATGGAATACACACACAAAGTACTTGACTATTTAAAGCATCCGCAGGCTGGTCTGTTAGGTGTCCGGCACCCTGCCTGCTCTGCTCTGAGATGGCGTGGGACGTGCATGGTCCATCCACAGGGCGCCGTGCAGAGGCCCGGCGGGAAGCGGCTTTCTCGCCGCCAGCACCAGCTGCAGCGCCTGTGCCGCCCGCCCTCAGCCCCGGCCTGGGCCGTGGACACACTCAGAGGGCCCCCCCAGACCTTCCGTGGCAGCACAGCACGGCACCGGTCCCTGTGGCTGCCTCTGCGGCCTGTGTGCCCGGCCTCCTCCGGCATGGCTGTCGGCACGGCTCTCTTTTCGTGACTTTCCCACGAGGCGGAGCTCCCCAGAGCTGGGGCCTGGCTACAGAGCAGACAGGCGGTGCTTGTTGAGTGAGTGGAAGGTTAAATCCGTCTAAAGTGGCTGAAGCCCTGCTCCCCGCGGAGGGGAAGACAGACATCGCATGGTCCGTCCGTCCCGGCGTCGGCCTGGCTGAGGGAGCCGGGTGGAGGGACTGACTGCTCGTCCCCCCCAGGCCTGCTGTCCATGGCCAACTCCGGCCCAAACACCAACGGCTCCCAGTTCTTCCTGACGTGCGACAAGACGGACTGGCTGGACGGCAAGCACGTGGTGTTCGGGGAGGTCACGGAAGGCCTGGACGTCCTGCGGCAGATCGAGGTGGGCACTGCCGGCCCGGTGCACGGCCCGGGGGCCGCGGGGCGGCGTCCTGTGGCCTGGAGGGGGCGCTGCTCCAGGAGGCGGCGGCTCTGTCAGCCTGGGACTGGGGGATCCCCTTTAATCTTCACCCTCCCCCCTTCTCGTCTGTTCCCTCCCAAAGGTGCAGGGCAGCAAGGACGGGAAGCCGAAGGAGAAGGTGATCATCTCCGACTGTGGGGAGTACGTGTGAGGAGCGCTGTCTGCACAGCACTGCCATCGGGATCCGCAGCCCCGGGCCCAGCACTCGTTAGACGGGGTTTGTTAGACGGTGTGTGTGTGTGTTTGTGTGTGTGTGTGTGTGTGTGTGTGTGTGTCTGTGCCCCGGGCACCGGCCCTCGTTAGACGGGGTGTGTGTGTGTGTGTCTGTGCCCCGGGCACCAGCCCTCGTTAGATGGTGTGTGTGTGTGTGTGTGTGTGTGTGTGTCTGTGCCCCGGGACCAGCCCTCGTTAGACGGGGGGAATGGGGGGGGGAGGGATGTCTGTGCCAGGCCCTCCTCGGGGTCAGCGTGGAGCAGCCCCTCTGCTGGCGCCTGGCCTTCCTCTGGCTCTTCCCACGTGAGGCCGCGGGCTGGGACCCCGCACAGGCCCCCTCCCCACGGGGACGGCTGTGTGTGGCTTTCTTCTGTAAAATAAACGCTGGTTCCTGTACTGCTGCCTGATAGCCAGGCCCCTGCATTTTCGGAGGCTGCAGCTGTCACTGTCTGTCCTGTAGCTCCCCTGCTGCTCCCTCCTCCCTCAGGGGACCAGGCAGAGCAGCGGGGGGCAGAGCGGGTGCAAAAGTGCCGCTGGCCGCTCTCCCCTCCTGGTACCAGACAGGCGGTTGGGTGAACCAGACTCCATTTCTGCCCACACCTGCTGGTCCTGAGTCTGATGGGTCTGGTTGGCCTCGGGCCCATCACCGCAGAGTACCCAGGGCCCTTCCTTTGCCAGGCACTGTGCCTGGTGCTGGGGACACAACAAGCATTGTGCTCACGTCAGCAGCACATCTGCTAAAACTGAACAATAGGGGGGAGATTAGCACCGCCCCTGCGCAAGGATGACATGCAAGTCCACCAAGCGCTCCACGTTTAACCAAGCAGCAGCCTCCTTCTCCCTCCTCCAGGCCAGCCTCTCACCCCGAACAGTGTGGGCTGGCGAGGCCGCCTCGCAGCCTCTCCCGCTGAGGCTGAGCCCCAGGAACCTCAGGGCTGCGCTGCTCCCGCTGCCTGTTAGTTGCTCTGCATCAAATGTCAGCATTCAGAAACTGCTGGCTGGTTCTCATTTGGGGTTGAGATCAGGTTGAGCTGGGAGGGGAGGGGAGGGGAGGGGAGGAGCCCGCTGGCCTGTGGCCCCATGTCCCAGGCCGGCTCCTGCAAAGGGATGGGCGAGCCCACTCCGGCATCGGGAGCCCGCTGCATGGCCCACCGTGTTCCCAGCAGAGACCCTCGCTCGTGGCCTAGGCGTCCGCTCACAGACGGTCAGTCATCTGGCAGGACCGGCAGCAGGGAGGCCAGGAGAATGGCAGCCATGCAGGCTGGTGTGATGGACTCCGCGGGGCTAGTCTGGGTGTGACATGCTGCCACATGGAGCAGGCTGGCCAGGCCCAGGAGGGAGGGCTGGCCTCACCCCGAGGGACCAGGGAGAGGCTGTGGGGACCTGTCACTCACGGGGCCTCCCGGGTTTCCTGGGAAGGGGGAACACAGACTGGCCAGGAGGCTGGTGGGTGGGACAATAGGGTGCTGGCTGCTCATCCCCAGGCTATGCAAGAGCTTCCCCAGAAGCCCCCCCGCCGGGTCCACCATGACCCTTGTGCAGGTGTTGACCCTGAGACTCTGGTGAGGGGGCAGGGCCAGCCCAGGAACCACGCAGGGGTGGTCTCCTCCCCCATCCTCCGGTGAGGGCTGCCGCGGCCTGGTTTGTAAGAGAAAACCCAGAAGAGATGTGGAATGCTGCTTAAATCATGTTTTCAAAGAATATTTAATAATTTCAGAATATATCATAAATTCAATAAGTCAGATCACCAAGCAGTGCATAGAATATGATCCTTACTTTGTAAAATACCTGTGTCTCATGAATAAAGACATACATGTGCCAATAAAAAAGGCTGGATGAATCATTAATAATCTTTTTCTCTGTGGTGGGGTTATGTGTGTTCATATCAATTTTTCTTTTCAAAAGTTTCCTCAGCATACATGGAATTAATATTTCCTTAAGTGAGGGAAAACTTAGCAGAGAGTCAAATGGCTGCTCAGGGCTCCCAGGAAGAGAAACCCACAAAGTTGTTCCCTTCCACTCCCACGAGGCCGGGGTGGGCACTGCTGGCCGGGGCGCCTGCGCAGGCAGGGAGGTGCAGCCGCCCTCCCGCCCGGCTTAACAAGCACAGTTCACCGAGCTCAGGGTTTTGGGGCGAGCACAGCTTTGAGGGAAGACAGCAGCACTCCAGGTGTCTGGGTGTGGCCCTGAGCCTCGGGAGAGTGTGGGTAGGCACACGTGGAGGCCACCTTTGCAAATGATTTGGAAGTAAGAGCACTCACAGATGCTACTCCCTACACACACATGTTCAGATGTGAACAGACCTGGTCCCATCCCCTTTCCCCCGGGGTGGACAGCTAACGCAGGTTACAGGACTCAGATTAACAAGAGGCCGAGCCGGGTTTGGTGCCAGGTCTCCTGGCTACAGACCTGCCGTCTCCCGGTTATAGCCTCCTTTCCTGTGAAATTGTAGGGAATTTCTCGGGGCACGTTACCACTTCCCCACACACATGAAAGACAAGAGCTGTGCCTGATAAGCTGGCATCGGCCAGGGCTGCGTCTGATTGCGAGGGGTGCCGAGAACAGCAGCTTCCCCCTCCCCCCCGGAGAGGCCCACTCGCCTGTCCGCATCCTCGGGGTCAGTGTTTACTTGGCTGCCAGTGGGCCCGAGGCGCCCTCATTCATGCTTCTGACGTGCAGCCTCGTAGGTAACCTGGCTGCCAGGCAACCAGCCAGACTGGCTGCTAGGCAACCAGACAAAGTGGCCTTGGTAACAGCGCTGCCCCCTCCAGCTTTGTGTCTGTAACGTCTCCCTCCCCCCAGGCCGTTTCCATTGGATGGTGTGGGCAGGAAGGGATTCGTGTCTCATTGCTGTCCCGCTGGGCGAGGCAGGCTGCATCTTTAAAATGTTCATTTCACGCACTCTCCTGGCACCCTGAGCTGTGCCGAGTCGTCTGAGGCACGGCAGAGAGCAGATACTGGCACCTGCCGGCAGCGTCCAGGCCTCGCCTGCCCTGGCGCTGAAAGGAGGGAGGTGCTCAGTGGGTCCTGGCTCTGAGGGGAGGGTGGCAGGCTCGTCCTCCCAAGGCCTTTGGAGATGAGAGTCCTGTGGGCGCCCGTCACGGAGGGGAAACAAGCCTGAACCGGGACGGGGGCTGGTTCAGACTGTGGCTGGCTGAGTTGGAACCAGAATACGGATCTCCTAGCATTCCCGCCAGTGCCTGGCTGACCCCTGCCAGCCTGAGCTCAAAGCCCCGGCGAGTGGGGAGCTCCCTGCCTTCCAGACAGCCTGGGCCCATCTGTGTACACAGGGAGGGCCTCTTCCTCAGCTCTCACCCTCAGAGTAACGCCCAGTCCAGGGATGGGGGCTGCTGTCCTGCCACCTGGCCCAGCCTCCACCCTGCCCCAGCCTCCACCCTGCCCTAGACCAGCTCTCCCGGAGCCGCCCTCAGGGGGCAGAGTGGACCCCAGGGACCAGGGACGTGCGTCCTTGGGCACACGGGTCGTGCTGCCTCTGTGGGCTGTGCCTGTGGGTTGGGGTGGGCCCAGGATCTGCTATTAACGACACGGTATTTCAGGGTTCAGGCAGCTGGACTGTCTGCTCCAGCAGGTAAATTACAGGGTGAGCAAGTCCGAAATCAAATAAACACTCCCACCGCCTCGGCTGCTCCAAGGAGGACAGTGGTTTCCGGGAACCTTCCCACCCAGCTCCCCTAATGACTGCCTGTCACTCCCCGGGACAGGGGCCTCTTCTCTGGCTCACAGGCCCCAAGACACAGGACACAGGTGGCCAGGCTGTTCCCACCTTCTAGACTGCGGCAGACACCGACAGTGCCACCCTGCCCCATGCCTGGCCAGAGGTGGCCAGGGCCCTCTGCTCCCAGGATGCATCGCTCCTTAGCACGGGAGGAGGGGAAACCTGTTCGTTCCAACTCCGAAAGGTTTGTGCGGAGTTTCTGAGACCCTCTCCACGTTCAGCGGGGAAAGAACCCGGTGCTCACAGGGCCGCGGGCGGGAGGCCGGCAGCGGTGAGTCCGTGCTGCCAGTCTGCTGAGACTCTGGCAGTCTGTCCTTGCTTCTGCTGAGTTACCTTTGCTCATGCTGAGCCCCACAGGGGGCAGTGCGGGAGCTGGAAGCCCCTGAGATTTCTTGCTTCTCTGGGAGTCACACCTCTCCAGGCAGGAGGGCAGGCCCAGGCACGAGCCCATCCGGCTTGTTGTTCTTCTGTGCTCACTACTGAGGACTTGCACGTGTCTAACTAGGCCCTGGAAATGCCCATGTTTTCCTGGGTAGAGGCAACCCCTGCTCCTACCCCGGAACCCTGGCCCAACCAGCCAGTCATCCGCTCAGACTGGCCTGGGGCGTCCACAGTGTGGGCCACGAAGGCCAAGGACAGTCCTAAGTGAGGCCTCCTGCGCCGACGCCGTGGCTGCTATGTGCCTCTGTCCCTGTGGGGGGCGGTGGGACAGACCACAAATCCCCGGAAGGGGCTGGGGGCCTGGAGAGGACCGACCAGGCCCTGGCTGAATATGAGAGCCCTCTCTCTGCTCTCTCCAGAGCTATGGCGGTATTGGAGGGTCTCAGCTTCTGTAGCGGGGCTGACCTGGCGGGAGGCGCTGCAGTGGCCACTGGGCCTCAGTGGCAGCCACAGGCCTTGACCACCATGTTGCGGTGTTTGCGCAGGATGACGTTGTTGCTGCTGTCGTAGTAGAGCACGGAGGTGGCGCTCAGCTTGGTGGGCGCGCAGCACGCCTTGGGCACGGCGTCCGGCTTCATCAGGTGCACCTGGCCGGGGGCGGCAGGCAGAGGGTGAGCACCGGGCCTTCTCCGGCCCCGCCCAGCGCCTGGCCCCGCCCCGCCCCCCTCCAGCCACAGCCAGGGCGGTGTGATGTGGAAATCTGCTCTCCTTGATCCCTGCCCCGCCCTGGGCCCTTAGGGCACAGCCTGGGCACCTGTCAG